CTGGTGGAAGCTGTAGGTATGTAAAATGAGCTTCCCCTGCCCCAAATGAAGCCTGACCACAGCATCTGAGGGCAGGCACTTTGGGAAATCTGACATTTGATCTGTCTTCTTCTTAAAAGGTGGATGCAATAGGTGTTGACTATTGACTGCAACAAGGCTGAGTGCTTCCAGCAGCTGGAGCATAAATCCCAGCCCTCACGAGACACCAGGCTGAGCAGCAATGCCTCTTTCTTCAGCACTGCATTTTCATGAGAAGTCTATTGCATGAGCGTTAATGCAGTTAGTGTGCCCTGCTCTGTGTTCGTACCTACCCCTTCCCTCCCATCCCAGCCGGCCAAGCTGCCGCAGTGGAGGGTGGGCATGACAGATGCTCTGCGGTGGGACCACAAGCCCATCCCTGATTCTGTGATCCTGCCCCGAGGACCTGACACCACCAGCCTCTGCTGGGACCAAGCTCTGCTGTGAAGGGAAGGGAGGGTATGGATGTCCCAAAGCTACAGCAATGCCTGAGGTTTATGATCTGTTAGGTGATTCTCATTGCCAGTATTACTGTCCCAAATAAATGTTGGCTTTTGCTTTCTCTAATATTGGTTGGACCTTATGCACTGGTAAAGTCAGAAGTTTTACAATTTGCAATTAATCTTCTGTGTGACGGGAGCTCAAGACTCGTGTCGATACAATTTCATGTCTATAGGATTCTGAACAGAGGGGGACAGCAGGCAAAGAGCTGAGGTCTGGAGGTTTGCTTTTTTCTTCTTTCAGAGAAACGAGCGAGTATGGAAAAGCCATTTTATGTTCTACGCTACGCTGATAAATTGCCTTTCGTTCTTTCTCTCTTATACTACTATTGAGCTTGCCGACAAACCTCTCCCTTGGCAGGTGGAAAGGATACATTGCCAGCAGTACACATTGACGAGACACCTTTCAGTAGTGGAGCTGTACAAATAATAGGGTTTTCATTTCAGTGGCTGAATGGAAAAACTGAAAATACTTTTTGTTTTGGGTCACCCCCTGAAGGAGGAAGTTTCTTTTCTTCTTTGAATTTTTTTCATAAGCACTGCACGAGACATTCTGGTTTGTGATTATTTAGTGCTTTTCATAATTTAAAAAAGGAAGAAAAAAGAAAAGAAAAAAGCAAACTAGGTCACTTTTGAACTAAAAATGTCACCTGAAAGAACAACAAAAGATGTTTCATTTTAAAAATGCCAAAAATGGAGCCTTCAGCTTTTCTCAGAACTTTTTTTCTTCACTTTCAGCTAAAACTCATTACATATTCAACCCAAACTCACCCAGAGTCTTGGTACCTATTAATCGCCCTTTGGGTGAATTTGCTATGTCAAAAAAACCCAGTCAGGCTCCACAGCAGTGACCAGTCCTGTTTGCTGCTCAGCAAACACACATGCACAAGTGTTTAATTCTATTTAATTAAGGTGTTGACCAGGTGAAATGACCTCTCGCAGGTCTGGCCAGCCAGGGAAGCCCCAGCACAGCCATGATTCACCCTGATGAGACCCAGCAGCGCGCTGGAGCGGGGACTCGGGAGCCTCCGGGGTGATACACCAATGTGGGGCTGCTGCCCCTTCCCACAGACGTCCCAGGTCTGGCATCTCCCCCGATGAGATGGTGGCTGGGGTGCACCAGTGCTTGGGAAATGCAATGGTGTGGCTCGGCCATGCTTCGCTTCCCCATGGGTACAGGGCCCATCTGTCTCTTTCTTTGCCTGGTTTCCTAAGGTGCTGGTGTGATGGTGTCCCTCCCTTGCTACCTTCCCATCCCTCTCAGGAGTGCCCTGAATTCAGGGCCCTGGCAGCACTAAATTACAACAAATTTCTAGAAATGATGATGATGAAAATCAGGGGCTGAGTAGAGATGCACAGCTTCCAGCGTGGCGGGTCCCGGAGGACTCACCTCGCCATGGAACCAGCTCCATCAGTGCCATTTGGGGTCCAGGTTTGGCTCAGACAACGTTAGGAGAAGTCCTTGTTTGTCACTTCCTCTTCAGCATCTTCCCACAGAGGCAAAAAAAGCTCTGCAGTAGCTTTTTGTTGCATCCCAACACTGGTGTGTGCTTCCTTGATGAATTAGAAGCTGTTAACACTGGAAGGACTCTATTCCTTCACAAATCCACATAATCTTGGAAATTTAGGGATGGATGAAATGCCCCTGTGTGCTTACTCCTCCACAGATGCACAGGTCCAAAGGGTCAGGGAGGGAAAATGCCTTCATAATATTCCCATGGACTCCCAGCTGCAGCAAACATGTAGGTAGGACCGAATGGCCAATAGACAGGAAAACAATTCAGTGTCTACACCAGAAAGGGAGTTTTGGAGGTTAGGAGCTCCAGTTTTAATTGCTCAATAACCTCCATCCTTCTCTGGTGACTCACAGCCACCGCTCCACAGCAGAGGCAGCTGCGAGAGCCAAGTGGCCAGTGGTAGCACCAGCTTGTCATGCGTAACTGATAACTCCCAGCCTGTAATTCCTGTCCATGGAGGGGCTGGGACACGGGAGCAAGGGCCAGCACCCCTGCCTGCTCCCCTCACCAGCCGGGACCCCGGCGTGCAGTCAGAATGGGCATGTAGAGCCAAGACGTTCATCCCCGATGGACACGCTTGTGTCACATCGCTCTGCTCAGAAATAAAATCCCATACCTGCAAATATTGTGAGGGATTAGGAATTTCTCAGCATTGGTCAGACTGACAAGAGAAAATGGAAGAGGTCCAAGCATCGGTGGCCCTTTGACACAGCAGGGAGACTGGTCGATGTGATAAGTCAAGGCTTGGCAGAGTCAGCTGCTCCTCGGTCCAACAGTCCTCTTCTTTTCTTTTTTTTCCTGAAATATTGACAAGACATTTTCCTCTGCTGAGGGAAGCTTCTCAGCAGCTGGCCATGGTGCAGACCACGACAGGCACTCAGAGTATCTTCTGGTTATTCCCCAGAGAGAGCGGCAGGAGACTTTGCAAGCAGAACTTTGATGCTGCAGATCAGAGATGGACCCTGGTGAAAATTGGAAGCTGGATGAAACCAACTGGTTGTCTCACAGTGGGATCCATTCCTTTGCCAGTGTGAAAGGAGGTAGGACGTGATTGCTAGTTTTAATCTACCCAGTGAATGTGCTGGGAGCCTGCCCGATGTGCCACTGCCCTTCACTGCGCTTGCAGTGGTCCCAAGGGTTTTGCTGGGCTAGGTCCAGAGCAAGGCAGTGCTCAGCATGAAAGTGGTAAAGGTCTGACCCAAACTGCAGTGGCTTGCCAGGAGCTGGCACACTGACTCAGGCACTTAATCTGTGGCTTGTCTTCCTTCTATGGAGTTGCGTTTTGCCAGAAAAACCCCAATGTCCACCTTTTGGCAAGTTCATATGCCACTTGTGCTAGATGTGACCATCTTCATTCTCCACAAGCAGAACTCTGCAGATGGCACTGACTGGGGAGGAGTGAGCAAAGTACCCCCTTCCCTCTTCAATCATATTTGCGTGGGACGATTTCAGGTGGCTTGAGAGTGACACACTGTACCAGCATCAAGAGGAGGGCTGAGGCTGGGGCTTCCCATGAGGGATCGTTCAAGGTTTCAGCCCACCTTAGCATGACACAAGACCTCCCAGCCCAAGGCTGGGGTCCATCGCTGTCCAGAAGTCGCGAATCTCAGGAAAGCACTCAGGGCAGATGCAATGGGAAACAGCCAGCAGAACTATTTCCTCTATCGATTCATCTCTACCTAATTTCCAGCCAGCTGCTGTAATTTGCTTTTTAATCCTCATTTGAACATTGGCAGAAGCAGCCACATGTGCTCCCTGCTCATCTTCGTCACCGGAGGTCCCCATCCCCCCAGCCAGCACAAGCTGCCCCTCCTTGGGCAAAGCTCCTTCTTTGGCTGGGACACACTGTGCCCCAGACTAAAACCAAAATAAACCCACAGCCTTCCAGATGACAGCACCTTGGGAACAGAAACATTTTGCTTTGGTAAAATGCTTCGCTTATCTCCATCTGTTTCCCTCGGCTTCCCGCTGATAGCCCAGATGCCTGGGGAAGAGGAAGGGCACAGTCCGAGATGTGGCATCGCCTCCTTTTCCATGACAGCTGAATTAGATAAGGAGGTTTATGCTTTTGAACCCAGCAGCCCTGGGTTCAGTCTCCCCAGCCAAGCACCACTGGGTGGCATTGCACGCCTGCTGCTCCCGCAGGTGCCCAGCCCAGGGTGGCCCCAAGGGACAGCACAGGGGTGCTTGCTACAGTCCATCCCTTTTGCCCATTAGGACAACCTCTGCTTCTGTTAATTTTCTAAAATCTTTGCCACGTGCGCGGTCTGTGTTACTGTTTATAGGTTGGGTTATGCTGTTGGGTTTGGAATCCCACTGTGCTTGGGCCTGTAATGCAGAGGAGGGCAGAGTCACTGCCGTCAGGAGTTTATAAAAATCCAAGACAGTTACATGTGGATATACATTGGCCTTTGGGTTTGTTGAAGCCTGTTGCTATCCTGAACTAGTGGCTCACAGCTTTTTCTAACTAACTGGTGCACATAACAGCATTTTATAGTGGGGAGCAAGATCTCTTAGAAATGTCACAGGTATGGATTACTACATGGTGTCATGCACCTGCCCTTCTTAAACATCCTCCTTGAACGCCCTAGGAGCAGTCCATAGATGCCAGACCAAAAAGTTTTTTAGTCTAACCCATGCATTGAACAAATGTCATGAACCTGAAAGGAAAAAAAAACCCAAAAACCAACAGGAAAAAAACCACTCTCTGCAAATTTATTTTATTTTTTTTAAATTGCATTGAGTTTCTGCAATTTAGCAGCATTTTGACATTGAAATAAATGTCTGAAAATAAAAAAATCCCCACCAACTCCAAGGCACAAATGGCATTTAACACTTGGCCACATGGTCCTATGTGGCTGCGGGTCCCTTCTGGCAGTGAGGGATCCCTGGGCTCTGTGGTCCACAGCTGGGAGCAGGAGAGGATGCGTGGGTGTGTGGTGAGATTGGGCTTGGGATCCAAAATAATCTCCCATGAGCTTTCGGTGAGAGATGCCACTGGCTCAGGAGTTTCCAGAGCTCACGGTCTAACCTGCCACAGGCACTGAGTTACAGCAATATTATTATCAGATGACTCAAGGGTTTGCTCAGCCTCTGAAAAATCCCAGCCAGAGCTTTTCCTTGCTCCTGCTGGTTAAACCTACACCAGCTGCCGATGCTGGAGGAGACGGTATCACACAGGAAAGCTTTGCTGCAGGCAGGATGCTCCCGGCCGTGCCCTGAGACCTGGGTGAGGTGGGGAGAGGCAGCGGAGAGCCGTGGCATGGCAGAAAAGGGGAGCACGGCCAGGGGCTCCCAGCCTGGGCAAAGACAGGGCAGCAGAGCTCTTGCTCTTTGGCAATGCTGGAGGGAGATAAGGGTTCATCCTTGGCATGTTTCTGTCTTGAGCTGACTCCAAGGTTTTTGAATCACAGCTGGATTAAAAGAAACACACAGGGGTGAACGGGAAGCTAGCTGAGCAGGGGCTTATCTGCAGTGTGATTAAAACAGTGTTGTCGCCCCAGCTCTCCACACCTCCCCTCCAGCTGACCTTTCCAAGCATTTGTTCTTCTTCCCCCAGACAATGAGCTCTCCGAAGGTGCCCCAGCCCTCTTTGCTTTGGATCAGCTGGGTAAGTCCATGCGTGATACATTTTCCTCTTCCTTTTTTCCTATGTGGAGTAATTAGGAGATGGCTTAAAAGACAGGGCAGCTGCTGAATGCTTTCCACTGCATAAATTCATCATCACTAGTGCCTCCTTTCTGTGTTGCTTTTGAATGCCATCCCTCCGGGGGATGGGAAAGCTCGATGCTAGACATGTTTGGTATGTTTCTGTGTTAAACTGATGTGGATTTTTTTTCCCTGGGATAGAAGCTGTCACTTTTCTGGTGCAGAGCGCTCTTGGATGCTGCTGCTTCTTGGCTGGGGGTTTGAGGTTTGGCCCACAGCTGGCACTGGAGTTTCTGTGACTTTCAAGACCATGTTGGATGGGGCTCTGAGCAACCTGATCTAGCTAAAGGTGCCCCTGCTCACTGCAGGGGGTTGGGCTAGATGATCTCTAAAGGTCCCTTCCAACCCAAAACATTCTATGATTCTATGATTCTATGATTCTGGTGCCTTGCAACTCAATAAGGTTTTTTTTTTTCCCCCGGGAGGCAGAAGTTGAGGCGTGTAAATTGAGAATGAACAGTAAGACACCCAGGGAGAAAACCACCTCAAATGGTCATGGGAAGCTGAAGGCTTCAGGGTCTGAATCCATGGGGGATCCCTATCTGGCAGTGATCTCCCCTTAATCCCAGGGCCAAGGTCAAAAAAGATGTGTTGCTCAGGAGAAATGAGGGGTGCTCAGGGTAATGCGGGGGTGAGGACCTGAGCTGCATGCTGGGAAGCTTCTGCAGGAGGTCTGACAAGCAGGAGAGGGGGAAATCAAGCCCTCAACCCTTCCTTAGAAAATGGGGAAAGGCTGGAGATGGAGCATGTGGGAAAGTGCGAATTAGATGTGTTGGGAGAGGTGCTGGGCTCAGGTCTGTGCACCTTTCCTTGCTCTTCAGCAACATGGTGGGACCATCCCTGCACGCTGAAATGCCCATTGCCTTACACGACTGAGCACCAGCCCTTCCTCCCAAGGAAAAGGCACCCTCCACTTCCAGGGCAACAAATTCTCTATCCTTGGAGATATTCAAAAAAAGCTCTAGGTGGCCCTGCTTGAGCAGAGGGGTTGGACCAGAGGACCTCTGGAGGTCCCTGCCAACCTCAGCCAGTCTGTGGTTCTGTGACTTCCCCGCTGCTCTGCAAACCCACCTTGTTCCCAGTAAGGATGCTCTGCATGCATGCACTGGGCTTGCTCACCACATGCAACGCTGGTGGGAACTTGCGGTAGGAGGGTAAAACCCACATGTGTAACTATCTCTGCTGTAAACCTCTGCTGCTAAGAGCCAGGATCTTGAAAAAATTCCTACAAATACAAAAATGCCTATAAACCGTATGATGCCTCGCTGGCGCTTGAAGGGGTGGCTAGGCCGGCAGCTGTCCTCACTGGCAGTCTCATACACTTAACAGTATTTTGAAGGAGTCCTTTTGAGCTCTCTCCACTTGGTGTCAGGATGGAGACTGCTCTGACATGCGTTCAGCCAGAGGAGTGTCTAACAGGGAACAGGAAAAAAGCCTTCCCTTGGCTGCCTCATTCATTACCCGACTGCTGTTAAAACAAGTCAAGTAACTTTAAAATGCGCTTTTTATGACACAGCTTCCACCAGCTCCTTTTCTTCTTGATCTTCCTTGTCTTATCCCTTAAGCAGTGCCTTCCCTCAGCGACACATGCCCATTTCTCCTCACCTTGGCAAACCCTCCAACTCTTAGCAAACATATTCAGTGACGAAGAACAAGCTCGCTCTCCCAAATAACAAGAATTGGTTGGGTTTAGCTGAGTAGCAAAGAAATGCATTAGCAGCTAGACAGATGTTCTGGATGTGCAAAATGAGGCTTGTGGTGACCCCTGGTCAAGGGGCAGGACCCTGGAGGAGCAGGGATCAGGGCTGTAGCATGGGACAACCGGCTTCCTGGCGTCCTCCTCATGTCAGTGGGGAAATAGTCCGTGCCATCCAGTGTGATCCATTGCCTCCTGAGGTGGTGGTTGGCACCTCCCAGGGCTTCTGCACAGCCCCGCTCCCAGCCGAGGGGCAGCAGGAGCCGTTTGGACACCATTTTCCTATGCACAGCAGTATTAGACATCCCTCAGTCTGGAAAAGATTATTCAAACCAGTGCTTGTATCACCTTACATTTCCACTCTGCTTTCCAAACACAGCACAGGCTGTGATTGCTCCATCCAAGGTAGACAAGACAGACAAAGGATGTGAGATAGCAGAACAAGTAATGGAAAACCGATCTCTCCTCTCGCCTCCCTCCCGGCTGCTGAGTTTTCAGCTGGATCAGTCTCCTGACCTGAGTCACGCACAGCTGCGTGGTCTGCAGTGCCAGGCAAGCGAGGGGGTAAGAGCAAGCACATGTTGGGGGGGGAGCGGACAAGATCACCCCAGTAGCAGCTCAGATTTATGCTGTGTTGAAGAAATTGTGCCTGAGAATACCAGGTCAAAAATACTCAGCCTTGGTCAAACCAGCCAGCTGAACAGCAGGAGTTATTAGCAGAGGAGCAGAGAATAAAGCAGTGCTGTAATAACAACACCCTGAAACAGAGCATTGATATTGTAACAAAGCGTCAGCAGCATAAAAATCACAGAAAAGCAGGTCCGAGCAGGACTTCAAGAGGCCAGCTACACCTCTCTTCTGCCTGGAGGCAGGACTGGTGCCTCCCGTTCACCCATCACCCTACGTGGAGGACCAACCTGTCCTAACAGCCTTCCCAGGCAATCCACCCTGGTGCTTCACTGCACTTGGAAGAGTTTTCTGGGTGTCTAATTAAATTTCTGTAATTCAAGCCAATTACACATTGTGCTGCTGAAGACAGGCGTAAGCAGGGAAAAGCCCTTCCATGGGTCAGATTGAGAGTTTCTTGTCCTCTGTACGGGGGCTGGAGGAGGATCCCAACGATGGATCACTGGATCACATCCTTTTTTTCCTGCTCACCACATCTGCCTTGACCTCTAGTCCTGCGCCCAGCTTTCTTGGCAGCTTGTCCCAGCTGGCTGCCAACCGCAAACATAGAAAGCTGTGCTTGGATTTTGAGTCATTCGTGGAAATGCTGATCAGTACCAGATTTACGAGAGGCTTTTTTGCGTCGCCTCATGCCATGAGTAACTGAACTCCAAGAAGGTTTTTGACCAGTCATGCAGCCATCTATTCGTACTTTCTCCTAGTCTGGCTGTCCTTCCCTTGCTTATAGTGATACCAGATGACACAGTATCACAGGCCTTACTTATACACCAGCACACTCGGCATCTGCACCTCCCCCCCCTCATCTACAAGGTTTATTACTTCATCACAGAAGATCAGATGAGCCTGACCAGCTCTGTTCTTGCTGAATCTGTGCTGGCTATTACTCATATCCTCCTTTTCTACATGTTTGCAAAGCCTTTCATCGTTCTGGTGCTTCCAAGGACAGAATTAACAATGACTGGGAAATCACTTCCTAAGTCTTCTTTCTCTCCTCATCTTAAAGACTGGTGCTCTGCTTGCCATGCCCAGCCTTTGGAAACCTCTCTGCAGCTGTGTCAGTCAGTGCATGGCTCGCCTGTACCTTGAGCAGTGAGCTCATTGAGGTTCCCTGGAGAAGTACCAGGCGAGGCAGGCAAAGGTGACTGAGGGACAGAGCAGCTTCTAGTAAACTACAACTTGATGATGTGGAAAAGAGATGCTACTAGGAGGAGATGGTAGAAGTACAAGAATTATGAATGGCACAGAAGCAAATAAGCGCAAGAGAGATACATGGACATACTAGAGAGAGTCCGACAAAGGGCCACACGGATGATGAAGGGACTGGAGCATCTCTCCTGTCACGAAAGACTTGAAAGAGCTGGGTCTCATCAGCTCGGAGAGGAGAAGGCTCTGGGGCATCTCATCGATTTATATAAATACCTGAAAGGAGGGTGCCAAGAGGACAGAGCTGGGCTCTTTGCAGTGGTGCCCAGGGACAGGACCAGAGGCAGTGGGCGCAAACTGGAACATGGGAGGTTCCCTCTGGACAGGAAACACTTTTTCTACAGTGAGGGTCACTGAGTGCTGGCATAGATTGTCCAGAGAGGTGGTGGAGTCTCCATCCTTGGAGATACTCAAAGGCCATCTGGACGTGGTCCTGGGCAACCGGCTCTGGGTGGCTCTGCTTGAACAGGGGGCTTGGACCTCCAGAGGCCCCTTCCAACCTCAACCAGTCTGTGATTCTGTGAAATAAGGAAAGGCTTAAAACAACCCAGAGGAAGTATGTCTTCACACAGCACACAATTACACTGTGCAGCTCACTGCCACAGGATGTCCAGGGTGCCAAAAGTATGAATGGGCTCAAAAAGTCATTACAAAACATCATGGAAAAAAGGTCTGTGAAGGGCTCTCAAACCTGATGATGCAGCTACAACCTCTGGCTTGGGAAGGGAA